AAATGTCCTTTAGTGACTCTACACTGTTTGAAACCATGCCACAAAATTTTTGTACGTGGCACATTTTCTTCAATAGCCTTTTTAGTGGGCTAAAATGTAAACTAACTCAGTGCCAAGTGAGGTCAAATACATATTTACGGTGATTGATTCTGCATTCTATTCCAATCTTTTCTTTGTGACCAGATGTAAAAAGAATGGATGAGTCAAAGCATTAGTGTGAGGAAATGGGCAATTTATAATAATTATTTAAAATGCACAGCTCAGATTTGAAGAGAAAGAGTTACCAAGGAAAGCATTCATGGAAATGGCTAGAACATAGCACGTCCAATTCACAAAAGAACAAAAAATATATCAGCAAATTTGTTCTGGAATGCCCTTGTGTCCAACTAACAGTGAATAATGCGATTCCAGAGTCATAGTTCAATATTACTGCAGTCTTCTATCTGAGCTCAAAGCATCCTTGATTGAAAAGCACTTTGTAGCGCAGAGGACACAGTGAGACAGTTAATGATGCCAGAGAAGTCATGAAGGTTTTGAATTCAAGATAAACTGAAAAAGCCCTGAACTACTGAGCCTTTTAATCTCATTTCCAAATGGGGATCTAGTCCCACAGCTTTCCAAAGCTTAAGGGAATTGCCCATGTGATTTTGTCATATAGGAACAAATCCCTTTCAGACTGTCGGATAAGCTATGCAAATCTAAAAACTGCCAAAAAAAAGCCAGAAAGGAGAGAAAGAACAAACGAGACAGAACAATTATCCAATTTTCTTTTTTTCATGAGAGAAAGGAAGATTGTCCCCGCTAAAATTGTCATAGCTACATATAAAAACATTATAACATGAAACCATGTAAATTATTGATTGTATATAAGCAGACAAGCACTGCATCTGTACATCTGAAAACTGTCATGAACAGTTGCTATAGAAACATGAGCACAAACACACACACATAAAGAATAAAATTCAAGAATATATTTTGACTGAATCGTGTCAATATGAAAAAAAATGACAGGAGCTTTGTTTCTTGTCACATAAACCCATGCAGAAAAACACAAGGTGTCAAAATTACTGACATACTTTGCAAAATGTACAAATTGTTAGAATGTGCAAAAACAAGTATTTTTTTGCACCCTGATAATTAAACAAACGATTGTCATTATTTTTAATGGATTTTTGCACTGCCTTCTGACTGCTTCAACAAATCAATCATCAACTCACTGTAATTACTGTATAAAGCTTAAATTCAATTTAAGAAAAAAGAGAGCCAAAACTATAGCAATAATTATTTTAACTAATAACACTACATTAAATCAACGTTAAACTAATTAAAGAAAAAAAGAAGAAAAAAAAATGTTGCCTTCCTGGTAATGTTTTTGCAAATAGAATATGTTTCTTCAACCTGAAAGTCATTCACATTACAAATCATGCTTTAGGGACTATAGATAGTCAGAGAGATGAATACAGTCCTCATAAACCACCTTTTGATCCTGGGAGGAAAGGGGGGGTGTGGAGAGGAGGTGTTTCCTCCCTGCTGAGTATCTGGATCACTCCCACAGAGTTTGCACTCAGGAGACCTTTGCCAAGTATTGACAAGGAACTCAGAAGTGCTTAACAGCCAGAACATGATAGGAGACAGAACAGCTTTTGGGGAGATTGTGAGTGGGTTATCAATGGAGAGATGGAATGCATCAGTAAAAAGGAGAGAACCCTACAGCCAAAGTATTTTTCTTTTTGAGAATGCGTATGTCAAATATATAGTATATACGTTTTGTAAAAAGATTTACATAATTAAAAAAAAATATATATTTTAGGCAAACTCTTTTTTTTTGTTTTGTTTTGCTTGGCATAAGACCCCTACAGTGCATATGCATTAGCTATACAATTCATTGCCATTCTGATTGTATACACTGGTAACATATAATTCATTCATGTACAGACAGCTACTCCATCAGCACCTGTCAGCAATATCAAAAAGTCTCTGTTGAGCACGCTTGGCTGGCTCGCTCAGATCTAGAGAGGATCCAATTTGTTTTTCACGTGGACGGCTGGACGGACGCCGGGCACCCCGATGTGTCCCACAAAAGCACTCAACACCTAGTGTGCAGGCGGGAAAGGAACTAATTAATCACATCATCATTTAGCGATTACCAGTGTATTTCCAAACTTGTGCACCGTTCCTCTCCCCAGGAGTGCTATACATCAGCTAGACACAGCAGATCGGAGCGAGTCCGCTCACGCAGACTGCGATATTAAAACACAGAAGCAGCAGTGGCACTGCTGTCCTCAGACAAGGTGATAATTGATTAGGGGGGGAATGAGGCTCTCTGGGGGGGCCCGCAGCGAGCTCTCATGATTGGACAGATTGAAGCATCATTTTTATAGCTTCAGTCATCTGTTAATTACAAAACATCGAGCTATGGGCTCAACAGAAGGGTGTGTTCTGATTATGAGGAGCAGGATGAATTTAGAGTTGAAATTTCTGCGAAATATTGAGGAGGCCATAACATCTGTTTCATTAGCATGAGGTTTAGGGCTGTCCATCCAGCCTTCCTTGAAGGAAATTTCAGTGCTAGCAAGGTAGCAATATAATATACAAAAATAGATGCAAGACATATGAGATTAATCAATCACCATTCAGAATGCAAATACATGTAAGAAAGAAGGCCCAGTAGGATTAGTGTTACACTTTATCTTCTACGCCTCATCATAAATCCATCTTTACAATTTAGCCTACATCTCACGAGTACAACACAGAAGACACATAACCTCATTACATTACCATTCAATATAATCTACAATTGTGATTCAAGGGTCTTTTTTTCAAGAAAAAGTGATTTTTATAAGATTTACATACTAGGAGTTACAAAATGAGCCCACTGGAAATATCATCAGACAATACAAACTGCTATGTATATTATTATATTATAATTTGATCCTTATTTTGCTGCTATAATCCCCCCCCCCCCCACACCCACCCCATGCAAGAAGCATGGTGACACATTCAAGTTTAGTTGCAATTTTATATGTGGTCAGGATTTGAACACTAAACATAAACTAGATACCCCAATTACACTAATTTAAATAACTGCCATGTTGTTGAAACATTTTTTTTATGTAGCTTTGAATGAAAGCATCTGCTAAATGATTAAATGTAAATGCAAAACAAAACAGAAAGATGCTTGACACCCATTGTCACTCAGGATTGAGAGGCTTCATTGAAAATACAATCAATGTAAATATCTCTCAAATTAAAGAACACAATGAACAGGAACAAATATCCAATAAGGCTCATGTTGGACACAAACCTGAACAAATCCTGATGCGCATGTTTATAAACATGAACAGGAGATCATGAAGGAAGTGAGTGTCAGAAAGATGGATGAAAGCACAGCACTTTTCATAAACCCTGGCTGAAACAATCCTCCCATCAGCAAGGCCAGCCAAACACACTAATCATGGCACGTGCCAGAGTGAGAAATCAAGCACTTTAACCGTGCCTCAGCCAGATGGTGAGTGAAATCAGAGACCCTGGCTCATTTCATGGCTGCTTAACAGACACAAGTCAGGAAGAGAGAGAGTGTTATGTTAAAGAAAAATAAATGGAAGATACAAACACGATTTTCCAGACAAGAAAGGCCTAATTTATAAAAGTAAATGCTTTTTATAGTAATCGAGTATAAGAGGGAGTTCTTTCTTCACATTTGCAGAAACATTGCAAAGTTTATGATGGTAGAGGCATGGAAATTGCTCATTTTATACATGTTTCGAGGCTATGACAGTTTGTAAACAAGTAAACAGGGAAAGCAGCAAACGAGAGATAAGAAGACAGCTAGAAGTGACAGGAAAAGAGATGCATTTGTAATTCCAAAGAGTGACAGACAGACAATGGAAAAACTCAAATAACAGGGGCTACCAGTTTGTATATATATATATATATATATATAGGGCTGTCAAACAATTAATCGCGATTAATCGCATCCAAAATAAAAGTTTGTGTTTACATATATGGGTGCACTGTGTATAATTATTTTATATATATATATATATATATATATATAAATACACACACATGCTTGCATATATTTAAGCATTTTTTTCATGTATATACTGTATACAGATTTATATATAATTTATATTATATATAAATATCAATATTTTATAAATAAATAATCTTTTTTTTTCTTAAATATCCATGCATGTGTGTGTATTTATATACAAAATAATTATACACAGTGCACCCACTGCACCCACATATATAATGATCACAAATTGTAATAACTGGTTAATTAGATCATTGTTTCTACATGAATATATGAACTGCATGATTTGTATTATTTTAGAATTGTACATTTCTGACCCGGACATTACTTGGGCACAGTCACTTCTGATAACCAAATACTCTAAATTGTAATGAAGACACATGTATTTTCTGTAAAGCTGCTTTGATATGTACTGTAAACAGTGCAATGCAAAAAAAGTTAAAAAAAAAAAAAAAGAAAAAGTGAATTAAATTGCATGTGAAGAGTTCAGATGCAAAAGCCTCTAAGTGCCATTTGAAATTTTCTTCTAAAATGATAATTTTTATCAAGCTTGTATATTTAAGTTCAGTAATTTTACTTAAATGGCAATGAAGATTACCTATTAATTGTTATTTAAGTGAAATTACTGAACTTAAATATACAAGTTTGATAAAAATCATCATTAAAGAAGAAATTTTCAAATGGCATTTAGAGGCTTTTGCATCTGAACTCTTCATGTATAATTTGATTGGCTATTTAATAATCATCGATAAAAAAATGACAATTAAAATAATTATACGGGATACAAGATTCTTACCATTGAAACATTTGTAATATGAGCATAAAAATAAAAATTTATGGACTTCAAAAATCATTTTTCAATCTATCAAAATAATGCATGCTAATGTCTTTGAATTAATTTTCTGTAATAAATGTAACTAATTATTTAAGACGACATAATTTGTTTCATTTGTTTCATTAGTTTCAAGACAACTCACCACGCAGCCAGTGGAGTCCAGCTTGCGATCAGAGATGCAACGGAAATTTCGGCTGCAGCCTCCGTTGTCTTTTGAACAGTCTCGCACAGGCCCAAAAGAGTCGAGAAGCACCTCCAGACTGTCGAAGGACGAAGAAATCATCAGCTCCTCCCTGATGGACAATGATGCATAGTAAACTCAGTTAGTAATGGCAGGTTAATTACCAAACAACCTCTAGCATCTATAGACATCATTAGGAAAAAGCATATTTATATTCTGATTGTTATTGTGTTATATTTACTTTATAGAAAATTACCTACACAGGTCAAGCACTGGATATTAAAGAGAAATGTGAAGTAGAAAATAACTATTCTTTGTCTCTTATACGCTACCATAAATCCAGTTAAAGAGAAAAGCTTTACAGAGCACCAAGAGTAAACACCACCACTGATGGCTAAACCTTGAACAGATGAACTGCTGTGCTCTGACCTTGGTTTCAGCTGTGGCTGGAAAAATTGCATTGGCTGATGCTTTTCCTCCCTTTACTAGAGCACTTGAAACATCCAAATATTTATCATTACTATGAAATATGAATGGGCAATGGTCATGATGAAGGAGCAAACCAGTGACCTTTTATTGTCTAATATATTTTAAGAGTGTGAAATCACCAGGTTGCTAGAGAAGTGCAGTGCTGTGATAAATGGATTCATTCTGCTACTGTGATTTCAGTTTCAAGACAGAAATACTGCCTTACATTTTTTCTGTTATGAAGTGTCATGGTCTGTCAGTTATGTAAATGACAATCAAATAAGTGCATGTATAAATACAAAAATAAATGAATAATTTAAAAAGCGAGAGGGGGAGAGACAGAAAAAAACCCTTGAAGATACCTTTGTTTAGATTACACATTCAGTCCAAAAACCTGAAACTAATAAAAGAAAAACCCATTTTGAAGACCTATTTAAAGGGGTTATGGTTATAGGTCCACTGGTGAAGTTATTAAATGATCATAAGTAAAACAATAACCATTTTTTTTTTTTTTGTTATTGTGTTATATTTACTTTATAGAATACACTGAAAATTACCCACACAGGTCAAGAACTGTAAATTAAAGAGAAATGTGGATATTAAAGAGAAAATATCCACATTCATATCCACACTTTTTTCCAAACATATACTGTTACTGCAGTTAGTTTGCTTAATTCTTCAGAATGACAAAATAAAGCTGTAAAATGTGTCAATTATAATGTGTCAGATTGAAATGACAGATAAAAATAAAGATTCCTTATAATAGGACATATCATGTTGTGTGTGTTTTTTTTTTTAAATAATAAAAACAATAAATGAGATTTACTTTTTCACGTAACAGCATCACATTTAACAATATTCGCTGGGGATTCTCAGTGAATGCCCACCTTACTTAATAAAGAACATTGCAGTTCTCACCTCAGGTTCCCACTCCCACCAATCTTAGCTAAATACTAGGAGTATCAGGGAAAGGAGACCTTTTAAAGCCGTGATGTTATGGTTGTTAGGGAAGATGTTATCGTAATAAGGCAGAATATATAATGACTCCCGTTCCACAGTAATGAGGGCACTTTGAACAAATTGAGACAAATCTACCTCTGTGAACAAAGCATCTCGACTGGCAGGGCTTAGAACAGAAAATCTTGGGAAGCTCTAATTAGTAGCTTAACTCCAAATACAAAGCAAGCATTTTCAAACTAGACACTGGAAAAGTGCAGCTTGCTCTTTACAACAGCGGCACGAAGTAATTAAAATGAACCTTCACTTAAGACTATAATAAAGAAGGCCATCCAAGTAATAGAAGATTTGCTCTGAAACAAATGCGATACATAATACTTTTTTTAATCAAAAGCTAAGACATTAATCAGTCATTGTCTCTGTTATTGTTCTAAAGCTTCCATTGTTACTGAAACGTTAGCCACAACTTTGCCTATTATTATTATTATGATTATTATTAACAACAATAATACAAATAATAACATAAAAAGTTTAGCTCCTCTATATTTTCAGGTGTCATTGTTACAGTGTCATTCTATATTTAAGTACTGAGTAATGTTAAGCAACTACATACTTATTATATCGGTTAGGGTAGGATTAGTATTTGGTTGAGGGTTAGTTGCATGTAAGTATGCATAATTTACTGTTATTACTATGGTAATTACATGTAACATACTGTATGTAACAAGGACACTGTAAAATAAAGTGTTACCCATAAAAATTATAATAATAGTTGTTAGATCTGTCACTTTGGTCTGTTTATTCTTGGTTGGGTGACAGAGCTCTGACAATTCTTTCTTTTTTGTCATTGTTAGCGTGCGTTCCTGATCACTCGGACCTATAGGCGTAGCCATGGGTAATAGATGCAGAATTCTTATTTAAAGTCTTAATACAAATATTTTTTGTGTGTGTTTGTTTGTTTGTTTGTTTGTTTGTTTGTTTTTTCTAAACTTTGACTTTTTGTTTATTTACAATATTTGTAAAATTAAAATGTAATTATTATTATTATTTTCTTTTATTATCATTAGTATTGTATTGCAATTAAACTTATATGGCTGTGTTTGGACACGTTTTGTGCAAACACGCGGCTTCTCATTAGCTGTTCTCATTACTGTAGCTGTGTGGTGCGTTTGTCTTGTTTTTGTTTGTTTTTTTTTTTTTTTTTGTTTGTTTTTTTATGCACATGGTTTGTAGTTGTGTTCACCGGCTTGTCATGTCATGTTTGTTTCTTTGTGCCATGCGCTCTCTTGTCTATTGTCTCCACCCATCTTATTATCTGATTATTGTTCTTGTTTGATCCCTATTTATATTCCAGTTGCCAGTCATGTTTTCTTCCATGTGGGAGTTTTTTATTTATTTTTGAAATAAGTAAAAAACAATCTCTGCATCACTGAGTCCTCACCTCATCCCTTAACCCAAACCTGACACTTAGAGTAACAAGGGGTCAGCACGACTGCTTTTGTATAACAGCTCAATAAACAAAAAAGTTAAAGCTGCCATCGGCAACATTTTTTGATCATATTCAGTGAAATCGACACTATAATCTGACAGAACAACATAAATAAAGTGATTTTAGGGAAGAAAAAAAACGGAGCTTCTCCACCAGGAGTGTGTTATCCCAATCAGCACAGGGGGATGAGTCTGACTGTCAATCACAGGTCGTGCACATGCTACCCCTCGCGCAAGTTACAATTAGATAGGCATTTTGAAAGGTGGTGATTTATGTGATTTAATTGGGTTCAAGCTGGACAGGTAATTGTACTTTATCAAACAGTTACTTTATGTATTAGTGTTTCATTAATAATCAAAGTAGCAATCTCAGTAGCCTATGTTTGCCCAAATGTGTTGGTGTGTATAGTTTATGTTAGCACTTGTTTGGCAGGTTTGTTAGCTTTGTTTGCACTGAAATCCGTGTGAACGTAATGTTAAGTGTATAAACGTCCAGATGAAGGAATAAAGTTCGGCGAAATATGTTGATGGATGCTGATGAGACAGCCGTGTTCATAGAAAAGCTGGTGCACACGCTCTGACGAGCACAAACTCTGTGGGAGAGTATTCTGTGTTAGTGGGGAGGGGCATGAGAGTTGTAAACATTCAAAATTTTGAAAGTCTAATACTTAATAGTTAATAATAGTTGTAAACATTCAAAATTCAAAAGTCTAATCAATCTGCCAGACTTGCCAACTGCAGCTTTAATATTGAGTAAGATTTGAATGAATGATTTGAAATGTCCTTTGAATGAATCATTTGAGTGAATAATTCAATGATTCATTTGTGCCAACAGTAAATGATTCAGTGTTATTAAAAGATAATTTTAGAGAATGATTCAATGACACTCATTAAGAGTCACTCATCACTTCTTTCATCCATGAAAGAGTAATTTAGCACGCTTACTGTACATGCAGATTCTTAACCCGATTAGGCTTAATAAGTGGACAACGCATGTTCACATTAACAAGTTATCCCATGCATTTTCCTTTACCGGTGTTGAGGTCATAAACAGCTTAAGCATAAACAGATCGACAGCATGATTTTTGCTTAGATTTCACCCATCGTGTAAACACATTAACCTGTGTTCTGTGGGATAACTGAAGTTGTGCATGTGCGATATGTGAAAGGAAAGCATACTACCACAGGATACTTGGATTGCCGGGTTATTGGTTCGGATGTAAACAGGAACAGCGGATTATTTGAATAAGCAGGTTTTTGGGAATTATCAGTTTTCATTTGTACGAATCTTAACTCATTGACCGGTAACTATTGTAACCTCTAAAAAAGTCACTGAAAAATCACCTCCATTAGCCGGACTGAAATTCCTTATTTATTTATTTATTTTTTGGAAATATTGTAATTTTACCCCAGAAAATGTGGAGATCAAACAATAATTGGCAGGACCCCTGCATTGCTGCGGCGGACCCCCTATGATCACGGTCTGAAGAATCTACTTGACAGACACCAATACAGAGTCTACACTGTATTCTCTCTAAACTGATTGTTCTGTGCAGGTCCAAGATTGCTTTTCCTTGGATCAGATTACGCTGCTGGGAGAAGAAGCAGTGTACTGGTTCACTTCCACAACAGTAGTGAAATGTGTTTGCTGTGCTTAAAATGAACAAATATTGTGATGTATGTAACATACAACATCAACAGCAATGGTAATTTTCCCAACAAGCAGGCTCTGACTGGTGCTGGGAATTTCAGTCCACATTCAAAATCAAATTATTACAAAAATATTTTGTTATACTAATATTTAATTCTGTAAGCAATAATTACAGCTTCAACAGTGGTCAAAGATGATCAGTGCAAGTAATGATGATTAAATTTATAATTTCCTTTAGCCTTTCACAAGTAGACTATTCCAAGTCAAACAATTCTATAAATTGCAAACAAGCCAGCCATTTTTTTTTCTTCCAATAGATTTAATGACAGCCCTATGGGTTTATACAGTACTACGACCGATTCAAATAGTCCTTAAATGGGGATTTACTTAGAAATCATGATTCATCATTTACTCACTGTCATCCCAAACCTGTAGGATTACTTTGGAACAGAAATGATAATATTTTGAAGAATGTTTCAATTGTCTTTGTACAAAACAACACTGGATATCACCGATTTTAATCCCAAAAATCTTCTTTGGTACTCTACAGCAGTAGTTCCCAAAGTGGGTGCAGTGACAACTGGCTACGGGTGCCGCAGAATCTCAGCTTTTTTTCCCAACTTAAACAGCCTAAAATAACTATCCTACCATCTAATATTTTTTGAATACATTTTGAAAATATATAAAAACACCAACATATTAACATGTCCAATGGAACATAAATAATATAAATAAGCAAAATAATAATGATATATTTTATTCATATTTAAAGTTTAAATCACCCTTCCGCCCTCTACTAGTGCATGCTCAATTTATATTTCACACAGATATTGACAGGATAAAGCAAATATATAGCTAGCATCCCTGGCATACGTGAAAAAAAGAAAGTCAGTGGAGCACGATCGACGAGTTGCACTATCCTTGATCTACCCCAGTATATCAAGAGGCTGCAGGTCTCTTTAAACTTTTATTTATTTATTTATTTATTTATTTTTTTTAAGTTATATGGTCAAATGATGTAACCTCTGGTTAGGCCTATGCACAGTATGTTGTGATGCATTCATAATAAATTCATGCTGCTGTTTATGCTTCATATGTAGTTTGCTCATCTAGATTTAATTTTATATATGGGTCAAAATCCCAACAAAAGTGCCTTTTGGTGTCCTCATCAGAATCACTCAGTCATCATGAACAGAATACAAAATAATGAAATTCTGAGGTTTTATGATAAATCAACAAACATTTACACACATAGAAGTACAATGATAATCTCTTGAAATGTGTGTTTCTCATTTCATACCATTTTCTTTGATTGAGTGTATGTGACTTTGGCATGTCCCACACACTGCTCAGCCAACTTCAGTGAGTGTAAAAAGGGGTTAAATGACACAAAATTATTCTTATTTTTCTCACGTTGTTTGATAAAACAAGTCAATTCGATAATTTATTTGCTATTTTCATTGAATATTAAACATCTGTATGTACACATGTACGTTTAGTTTAATTAGGCTGGGGTGCCGGGGTGGGGAAAAAGTTTGGGGACCACTGTTCTACATAAAAAAGTAAGTCATATAGGTTTGGAGCAAGATGACACAATTTTCATATTTTTGTGATCATCCTTTTATAGATCAGGCAGTATATTATCTCTATGACGAATGTTCAGCATAACATGGTAAGTCTTACTTCGAAATATTCCAA